TGAATGGAACTGGAGGACATTATGTTAAGTGAAATAAGCCAGGACAAACTCGAGCATGTATTTTATTAATCATTTAAGCAGATCTACCCAGTGTTAAGATTACATAATAGGAAACATGAAAGGATCTAAACTCCTGGCAGGAGAGTGTCTAAAGTCTATCCAGGCCAAATGGCTTATTTTGAGAAATGTCTAGGGATAGATTCCACAGCAAAAACAAGTTCTGTTGTTTATCCCTATGTAATCAGCGATATGCATTTATTTTTTAAATTGATTGCTCTATAACTGTACAATACAGTTTTGTGTGTGTTAAAATAATTTCTACTTTGAATTCACTTTTTTTTTTTGAGTTGGAGTCTTATTCAGTCGCCCAGACTGGAGTGCAGTGGCCGCTCCCAGCTACCGCAGCCTCGCCCTGCTGGGCTCCAGTGATCCTTCCGCCTCAGCCTTCCAAGTAGCCGAAATTACAGGCATGCGCTACCACGCCCGGCTGATTTTTTGATTTATTGTAGAGATGAGGTCTCGCCTGCCCAGGCAGGTCTCGAACCCGCGGGCTCAGGCAATCCACTCACCTCAGCCTCCCAAAGGCGCGGGATTACAGGCTGAGCCACCGAGCCCGGCTTGAATTCACTTTTAAATTTAGCCTTCTGTGGGCTTCCTCATACATATGATCATTGTCTTCTAGTAACATTCTCCTATCACCTCACTTTTTTAATCTGCATTATAAATATCAGTTTTGTGCCTTTTTTCCCCTCTATTTCTTCTCTAGGTTCAGTTTGTTGGGTGTATAGTGGAAAGATTACTTTAGAGGTTCTACATGGTTTAGAACCATCTTTGTACTATATTCAGTGTGAGTCAAATCTACGTTAGATTTTTTGCTCAGTTTTATCTAGAACCTGAATCTTTCTCCCTCCTTTCCTCCTTCTCTCCCTCCTTCCTTCCTTACCCCCTATATTTTATCTGTATATATTTTTGGAACAATTACCATATGCCTGGCATTATGAGCATTTTAATATTGCTATTTAATCCCTATGACAGCTGTACATGGTAGATATTATTCCCATTTACAAATGAAGAAGCTGTGACCTGAAGAAGTTAAGTAATTACCTGAGGTCATAGAGCTAGTAAGATAAGAGAAGCCAGGATTTGAACACAGGGTCTGACTGCAAATCTCATTCTCTAGCTGCTATGTTGAATTGTCTCCATCGTAGATTCAGTTCACTTTTTCAATTATACATGTAATCAATTATACAATAAAGCTTTAATAGAGACATCTATCAATAGCTACAACAAATATCAATTCTTTTAATTAACTCTTATGCCCAAACTGCAGTTTCTTTCTATTTGTAGAAATAAAATACCATTGTATTTACATGTTTTAGAATTTTACTTTTCTAGCTTATAATTCCTTATTAGTCATGTAGTCCTTTTAATTGAAATTCTACCTATTGTTTTTTCTAATGGGGCTTTGTTTTTACTAAATTAACATACTATTTCCTAGTTAGCCATTCTCCCACCACTGGTCATTTGGGTTACTTACAAGTTTTAACTATCAGACACTATGTTCAAATAAGTTATTTTCTCCTTTGAACTAGTTTTTTGACATGTGTTTCTGTAAGTCAAGGGGTATAATCACTATAGTGTGAATTGCCAACCATTTACAGTGACACCATGAGTGTTACTGACACCCAATGAAAACTCAACTGGTAATTGCTGAACTTGTCCTCCTTTAATTATTACTGAGGTTGATCCCTCCCTCTTTAAGTACTATTTGTCTTCTGGAGTAACTTTTCTATTTATATCCTTAAACCATTTGTTAATCAGATCCTTTACAAATTCCCATCAGCTACTTATACATAATGGTAATCTATTATTCTTTTTCCTTAGTCTGTTGTTATGCATGTATGTATGTAAGTATGCATATATTTAAAATGAATTGGCGGATAATTGTGATTGCTATGCAGTCAATAAACTTGGAACTATATTCCCCCATACTTCCCTCAGGTTACGCTTAAATGTCCCTTTCTTGAGAGCCTGCCCTTGGCCACCTGTATAAAATATCCCTTGGGCGGGCACAGTGGCTCAGCTCGTAATCCCAGCACTTTGGGAGGCTGAGGCAAGAGGATTGCCTGAGCCCAGGGGTTTGAGACCAGCCTGGGCAATTTGATGAGACCTTGTCTCTATAATAATTCCAAAAACTAGTCAGGTATGGTGGTGTGCGTCTGTAGTTTCAGCTACTTGGAAGACTGAGGTGGAAGGATCACCTAAGCCCATCAGGTCGAGGCTGAGGTGGCCGTGAGTATGCCACTGCACTCCAGCCTGTGCGACAAGAGTGAGACTCCAACTCAAAATATATATATATATATCCCTCCACTCTCCTCAAATCACTTTCTATCACTCTCTCTCTTGAGTTTTCTTTTTTATCTTTTTCATTTATTTTTGAGTTGGGGTCTCATTCTGTTGCCCAGATTAAAGTTAACGGCACAATCATGGCTCACTGCAACCTCAAACTCCTAGACTCTCGTGATCCTCCCACCTCAGCTTCCCAAGTACCTGGGACTACAGGCATGTGCCACCGTGCCTGGTTAACTTTAAAAATTTTTTTTGTAGATACATTGTCTTGCTATGTTGCCTAACTGGACTTGAACTCCTGGGCTCAAGCAGTCCTCCTGCCTCACCCTCCCAAAATGCTAGGATTACAGGTGTGAACCACTACACCCAGCCTCTTTTTAAAATTTACATCACCGCATATTCTAGCTGGCATAATATATTTTATTTGTTTATTGTTTGTACCTCTCACTAGAATAAAACACTTTATGAGACAGGGATTTTCACAGCTGTATCCCGAGTGCATAGTACATAAAAGATACTCAGTAAATATTATTGAGTAAATGAATCAAACTTTGACATTGAAAATTACTTTTGCTGCTTCAGTGAACAAGAAATGATCTTTCCTCTGTAAATGAGTCAATGGTACCATTCCATTTTCTTCCAGCTCATTTTAATTTGTTTTAAAGTAATTTATTCTTTTCCCATCTGAATTTGTGTGTGTGTGTAGTAATAGCATAGATCTTTGACCAACATTTTTCTAGAATTTTGCTTTTCCTGTGTTTCTTTTGAATTTATGTCAGTTTGAATCTATTTTCGTGTATTTCTTTATTCTAACTTTGCACTTGTAGTTCTGATGGCCATTTAATTGTAATATGGCTTAAGATTTTATAGGACCAAGTCTGAAGAGGCTGTGTGATGGCTCATGCCAATAATCCCAATACTCTGGGAGGCTAAGGTGGGAGAATCACTGGGGGCCAAGAATTAGAGATCAGCCTGGGCAACATAGCGAGAACCTATCTCTACAAAAATAAGAAAAAACAAATAAAAAAGCCAAAACACATAGGACCAAGTCCCCCATAGATATTTTCCATATAAATTGTTTCCTTGAGATTTTTACCCCTATCTTTTCCACATACTTTTTGCAATTTTATTATTTCAAAATATTCTATTTATATAATGATTAATAGTAACAGCTTCCTTAATTTCATACTAAGCTTGCTATATTTTCCCTGCTAAGATCCCAAGAATTTAGCATTTACTGTCACAAGTAGGATTAACCTAGAATTTTCTTTCTTGTGTTGTCTTTGACTTTACAATTCAGACAAATGATTTGCTTCATGAAATTAGTAAAACAAAACATAATTCTTTATACTTAAAAACATTACATAAAATGAAGACAATTTTATAATATCTAAAAAAATTATCAAGTAAAAGATAAAGCTATGTCTTTTTCTTTAATGGGAGCTCTTTTTCGTTTGTTTGTTTGTTTGTTTTTTATTTGAATGGGAGTTTCACTCTCTCACCCAGGCTGGAGTCTAGTGACAGGCTCACAGCTACCACAGCCTCTACCTGCTGGGCTCAGGTGATCCTTCCACCTCAGCCTCCTGAGTAGTTGGAATTATGGGTATGTGCCACCATGCCGGCTAATTTTTTTATTTATTGTGGAGACAAGGTCTCATCAAGTTGCCCAGGTTGGTCTCGAACTCCTGGGCTCAGGCAATCCTCTTGCCTTGGTCTCCCAAAGTGTTGGGATTACAGGTGTAAGCCAATGTGCCTAGCAATGGGAGCTCTTTGATAAATTTAATCTATTTCTTCAAGTTCTCAATTTCTGATTATGCTAGTCTTGCCTCTTTTCACTTTGTTAAAGTCATTTATTTAATTTAGGGTTTTTAAGTTATTAATAAAAGTTGTATATAATCTTTCTTAATAACATTTTATTCTTCTTCCTAATACGTAATTTAAATCTTTTAAATTTCCAGGTTTACCATTTAAAAAAATATAGCTGTCTCAATGGTTTGCCAGTTTTGTTGCTCTTTTTGAAGTCAACCAAACTTTTTTTTAAAGCACTTCAAATTACTAAAAAATTTCTAGTTAATTTCTTTTTGGGGTGAGTTAATTTTTCCTGTGTTTTCCTGTTCCTTTTTTAATTAAAAAAGATCAGATTCACTTTTGTCTTACTAACACTATAATGCTCATTTCCATTCAGGTTGCAAATCAGGCTTGCAATAAAGCTATTGACATTATGAAAATAGTTTTTTTCAGATTATAAAGTTATTAATTTGAAGTGTAGAGAAGTATAGAAAATAGAGAATATATACTAGAGAAGAAAATGTAGAGAAGTAAAAAGATAAAAGCACCCATAATCGGGATAGAAATCAACATCCCAACTTCAAAATATTAGCACTGTGATTCTATCAAAAGTACATAAAAACTGACATCAGGCAGACCGTCCAGAATGCTAACTTAGTGATGTGAGAAGGTGGCAGGAAAATAATAATTAGCCAAAGTTGAACCAAATGTGGGTCCTTGAGAGCTGACTATAGAGCATCACTCACACTGCATCAGTCTTGAGAATCTTCCATGGCAGCTGCCTGAGTTAGAGACTTTAAGCATATACCTCTTTATATTACTTCACATCTTCGAATCTCATTGGCATTACTTGCCTCACATACCTGGACCCAACAGTCTTGAGAGCCGTGGTTTGGGAATCAGTTGTCTTTTCTTCAGAAGTTTTGCCACCCATCTTTTTTAACATGTTTGCTTCACTTTCTACTGGAGTCAAGGTAGTTTCAAAATATCTTTTACCTTCGAAAGTCAGTGTTATATTGGAGATGGTGACATGTTTTGAGGATTTTTTCAATTCACCCTTACTTTTTGTATTTCGTAGACACCCGGTCTTCAGAATGTTTTCCATTTTTTCCTTGGAAAATAACAAGCAGCAGCAAATTAGGTAACAGGAGAGCATCGGGTAATAGATTGTTTATGGAGCAGTGTCTAGCAGAGTAATCATTTCATTCCTAGTTACTGAGTGTGTGCACAGGCACAAGAGAGTAAGGCTTGGAAGTGGATGGTCACTGGGAAGAGCCCAGGTGTACTGGAGGCTGGGAGTGAGGGCCCACAGCAACCTGACACAAGACGCTGACACCCTCCTGTTGTCATGTACACCATGTCACCCCACACAAGACAACTGGCACTTAATTACAGTACTTCTCTGAATTGTCGGAGCAGAAGAGGTTCTCCAGAAATGCCTTGCCACTTACTTGCCAATCTGAGATTGCTCTTACTTAAGAGCATCTAACAGATGACAGGGGTTGGGAACTCATAATAATATAAAATAGTTTTTCAAAAGACTTAGAACCTGTACCTAAAACTTAATACCCTAGCCCCTTTTCCTACTCCTAATTTTCTGGTTTCTTTTAGTGTACTACCTCTCTGAGTTGCTCTCTGACTTCCTCAGGATCCCTCAATCGGGCCTCAGAGCTGTCAGTCAGCAAGCCCTCACGCCCATCTCACTATATCCTTCATGTCTGCACCTTCTTCTTCCCATCACTGCATGCCTAGTCCGTTACCTCTATTACATTTCTCTGAAAACAGTGCAATAGTCTTCTTCCTTAAAGATAAAACTTCATTGTTTCCTGACAATTAATGTCATACATATTCATTAGAATATTTGGAAAATCCTATAAGGAATAAAGTCAAAGATAGAAAATCATTGCTTCCATGATGCCACTGCCCAGAATTAACTATTCCTGTGGTACATTTCATTCTGATCTTTCTGTCTATTTACTTCTTTGTTTTGTGTATGTCTGCTTTGAGATCATATTGAAGTTTTGTCTTCTTTCTCTTAACATTTTATTATAAGCATTTTCTTCCTGCCATTAAAAATTATGTAAAACTACTTGAATTTTTCCTAATTAAAATTTTATCATCTTTATTGTAGGAAATAGAGAATTCAGAGTATTAGTATAAATAAGACATACATTCCCTATACTTCCATAATCTAGAGATAAACTGCTATTTCTATATAGATTTTTAAATATGTGTGTGTATATAAATGTATTTTTACATAATAGAGATTATATTTTTCACTTTTCATTCGATCTTCTATTGTGAACTTTTTTTTTTTGAGTCAGGGTTTCACTCTGTCATCTAGGCTGAAGTGCAGCGGCACGATCATGGCTGACCATAGCCTCGATCTCCTGGGCTCAGACCATCCCTCCACCTCAGTCTCCAGAGTAGCTGGGGGTACAAGGGCACACCACCACACCCAACTAATTTTTTGTAGATATGAGGTCTCACTGTGTTACCCAGGCTTGTCACGAGCTCCAAGGCTCAAACGATCTTCCCACCTCAACTTACTAAAGTGCTAGAAATACAGGCGTGAACCACCGTGCCCAGCCTATAGTGAACATTTTCTAAGTCAAGAAATGTTCTTTAATAATTATAATAGCGAGACATAGTGATTCTTTTCGTATTTTCTGAGTGCCTATGATCTTGCCAGACACTAAGGTAGCTCCTAAACATGATAAATATGACACCTGCCCCGACGAATTTAAATTTGTTTAACTATCCCTCCATAGCTTCCAGGCTTTTACTGTTTCATTGTTATAAACATGATATAAATATAGTATGATTAACATCTTTGTAGCTAAATCCTCATTTCTAGTTGTGATGAATTTCTTAGCAATTCTCATCCTTACCACAAACTTCTATGAATATATAGTTGATCACACCTTCACTAACACAGTTTTTATTTTTTTATTTAACTGTTATATATGGGTTAAATATTTTTCACGGTTCTCATTTTTTTGATGATTATTGAGGCTAAACTTTTTCTGCCTTATTTATGAGCAGTTTCTTTTATGAAATGTCTAATCTTGCTCTTTGTCATTTTTCTGTTGTGGACCTTAGTGGAAGTTTCTCAACAAGTCTTCAAACAGATCTCTTTATTTATGATCTGTCCTGACATCAGATTAATCTTTTAAAAACACAGCTCCTTTCTTCCCTTACACAGAAGCCTTTGTCACTAAAATTTATCTGAAGAGTGAAGTCCCCGCTTTTTAATTTGGCTTGCAGGCAACTTTCCAAGCCAATATTCTAAAACTGTCCTCATATACTATGCTCCAGCCCAACTGAACTCCACATTCTCAAGCATGCTCTAGTGTTTTCCCACCTTCTGGCCTTTTCTAAAGTCACTTACTTCTTTGTTTTTTGTTTTCCTATTTCCACCCTCGCCTTTACCTATTGAGATTTCATCCTATCCTTCATGGTACTGGGTACTTCTGTATGTTGGGGGTGCCAAAAAATTGTGTACACATTTTAAGAGATGTTATCAGCCAGGCATGGTGGTTCACACCTGTAACCCTAAACTTTACCTGTATGATGACCACTTGTATACCTAATCCTGAATTGAACCCCCCACAATCTTTAAAAATTTTTAAAAATATTGGCATTTGGGAGGCAGAGGCGAGAGAATTGCCTGAGCCCAGGAGTTCAAGACCAACCTGGGCAACATAGTGAGACCTCATCTCTATAATAAGTCAATAAAATTAGCTGGGGATGGTGGCGCACGCCTATGATTCCAGCTACTTGGAAGGCTGAGGTGTAAGGATCACCTGAGTCCAGCAGGTCGAGGCTGTGGTGGCTGTGAGCATGTCACTGAACTTTAGCCTGGGCAACAGAGTGAGACTTCGACTCAGAAAAAAAAAAGAGATGTTATGTATGCATTACTTTAGATCACCATAATCAGAAGTGTCTGGATGCTGATGGTAACCACTTTGAGCACCTCTTGTTATTGCAGAAGTCAAACGTGACTTGTATTCATCTTTTGTTTTCGATATATAGTATTACAATTTTAATATAGTTTTTTGTTTCTTAAAAGTGTATACATTTTTTGGCACCCTCTTTATATTTAAACCTTAATAACCCTTACATTATATTAATATTCTTATTTTGGAGATGAGAAAACCGAGACTCATGGGGCTTCAGTGACTTGGCCAAAGTCACAAAACTAATATGCCGCAGGTTGAGATTTTAACCTGGGTCTTCTGATTTTGATTCCCGAGTTCTTTCCATCACACCATAGCTTTCTGATACTGTGTTAAGAATTACGGTGAGGATGATCACTACCTATTTCAGGGGACATCTTATAACTCCTTTACATCAGGGGTCAGGGATCGGAGCTCATTATTAAAATTAGGTTACTTAGAGCAGGCTCCATGGCATTTTGATAACAGTGTCAGCTAATTGGGAAGTGTGATCTTGGTTTTCACTGTAGGTCTTGATTATTAAAGCATGCAAATGCTCTGTGACACTTACCTTTTCCTCTTGCTTGGCCCTTATTAAGTCATCATTTTCAAACACCACTGTGACCCCTGAGTAGTTTGTGACATCAGAGTTGTCTGTGACTTCTATGACTTCTGTGACAATTCTTACATCTGGGACCTCTGGTACCTCACTTTCCGGAACATCCGTGACATCTGTGATGTCGGTGATGTCTGTGAATTCTGAGAAACCTATGCTGTCCATAACATAGAGGGAGTCTGAATGGGCATGCACATATGGGGTCTGCACAGCTGTGAACGCTGCAATATCCATGATGTCCACAGAGCCTGTGATCTCGGTGCTATTTGTGATTTCTGAGAGGCTTGAGACCTCTGACACTTTGGAAACTTTGGCTTTCTCCTGATTCAAGAGGGAGATGAGGTCCACCCATTGAGAAAACAAGGTATCCTGCTTGTTTGCGGGGGCGCAGAGTTGCAAGTAGTAGGCTCGACCGCTCACCAGCTTTACCTTGAGGCGCATATTCTTGGCGTCATGCACAGAAAGAGTCACAAGCTGCAGAGGCAGAAACCTGCAAACACACACAAATGTCATGTTGTCTAGAAGCCTGAGTAGAGACCTAGGAAGAGGCATTCCTTTTTCTATTTTATAGTAGCTTGAAGAGTGAGGTCAGGACAATAGTCTTGTCTCCTGGGTAGGTCTGGGTAGGGGCTCCTGAGTGCCATCTCTTCTTAATTTGTTATATACCTGAGACCCTGGTGTACTAAGCAACTACTTACTGAGACCCTGGTGTACTAAGCAACTCCTTACCTAGAAATTGGCATTTAAATTAACCTTACAAAGCTGAGATTTTAAGTTAAATGATCTACTCAAGATTACAGAGTATTTAGTGACCGAGACAAGGTCAGAGCTAATTTCTGTTGGAAGCTGGGTGTTGGGGAAGGGGGTTGTGTTTAGAGAGGCAGTTTATTATGCATCTTCAATGCCTGTTACAGAGGTTTAATTTTTTTTTTTTTTTTTTTGAGTTGGAGTCTCACTTCATCGCCCAGGCTGGAGTGCAGTGGCACACTCACGGCCACCCTTGCATCGACCTCCTAGGCTCCAGCAATCCTTCTGCTTCAACCTTCCAAGTAACCAGAACTACAGGTATGCACTACCATGCCTGGCTAATTTTTTATTTATTGTAGAGATTAGGTCTCATCAAGTTACCCGGGCTGGTCTCAAACCTGTGGGATTAGGTAATCTACTTGCCTCGGCCTCCCAAAGTGCTGGGATAACAGGCTGAGTCACCAAGCCCGACCTGATTTTTAAAAATTAAGTCTGCCTGCCTGTGTCATAAACGATCTTCCCTACTGCTGTCATTGCAACAAGGAGCGCAAGTGAGATGCTCCTTTGGGGCAACTGTCATTGGTGTTTCCAATTCAGCTCCACAGGAGTCTAGCATATTTTCTGACCCCTAACTTCTTTTCTTTGTAACTCACCTGGTGAGCACCAGCTTCTCTGTAGAAGGAGATGTCAAGAGACTTCTAAACAGGGGTTCCGTATCTTTTTGGGCGGTGGGTGTCAGATATGCCAGTAGCATCACATTTGGGGTCTTATGAATGGAACTGGAAGAGCAGATACCCACGGCCACCCAGTTGGCTCGGTTATGAAGGTAGATGGATTCACCCCTCCTGTTGACCTGGGTGCAGAGAACAGGAAGTGGGGTTACCTGATGAAATGCACAGCCCAGGGAGGACAAAAAATGAGAGAGAAATGAACCATGAGGCATTTGTTTCTTCACTTTTTCCTGTTGATTCTTGGAAATACCACAAGGAACAGACAGACACAGTCCCTGACCTGTTGGGGCCTCCCAGGGAAGACTGACATTAAACAATTTAAGTATGTAAGTAATTATTACTATAAGGAATTTTACCAAGTGCAAGTCCAGGGTGCTATGAGAGCATGTGACAGGGGACTTGACTTGGCCTAAGTGGCGACATGGGTAGTGATGTGCTGGTAAACTTTTTTTTTAGTCAGAGTCTCACTCTGTCACCTAGGCTGGAGAGCAGTGGTGTAATCACAGCTCACTGCAGCCTCGACCACCTGGGCCTAGGTGATCCTAACGCCTCAACCGTCCAAGTAGCTGGGACTACAGGTGTGTACCACCATGCCTGGCTAATTTTTTTGTAGAGATGATGTCTTGCTATGTTGTCCAGGCTTGTCTCCAACTCCTGGACTCAAACAGTCCATCTGCCTTGGCTTCCCAAAGTACTGGGATTACAGGTGTAGGCACACACATTTACACATAAGTTTATTTAAAGTGTAACTGACATAAAAGATGAATAGCACTGAATTTACAAATATACAGTTTTTTTAGTTTAAATTCCATAGAGCTAATTGATAAATTCCTCAAATCTTTGTCAGACTCTTAAGTCTATAACCTCAAAAGCGTGAATAAAAGTAAAATGTAGTTAGAAGAATGGGAATAATGAGTTTCAAATATTTATTGCCCTTTTGAGGATATAATCTAATTATAAGTTTATATAATGTAATTTTTAATAATGGCTATGTTTAAGAACTGACTTGTAAGTTTCCTGAATACTAACCAATCAGCCAGCTCCTGCACACGCCTGGGTATGGGGTCACAGAAGTGTCCCCTGAGGAAAGGACCTCTACTGAGGCCTGCACGGTGTGGTAGATAAACTGGCTGTGTGGTGATGAGAGATCTCCATCTCCAGGCAGAGGAATAGCAAGTGTAAAAACACCGAAGTCCAAGAACCTTGGCCAGTAAAAGCCCTGCCAGTTGGCAGAAGAGACTGGAGAATGGGCAGGCAGGGATTGGAAGGAATGCAGAGAGGAGCTACACTGTAATTTCTCAGCTATGCAGTAACTGCTTCAATTAAAAAATAAATCACTGGAAAGCAAATGCATTCAGAAAGAGGTTGTAGCCTACACTATTGATTACCTGCCTGAAGCTGTGCCCCTCTTCTTCCTGATTGACAGAACCCTGGTTTTGTCCAATATAGCTCAGGGATGATGACCCAGCTCAGGGGTTAAATATTGATTATTTAAGTGGGTTGTGGTGGTTCCACTCACCTGATTTCAGCAGGGGCATGTGACTCAGGCCTAGCCAGTGAAACACAGATGGAGGCCTCCTGGTGGCTATGGCAAAGGTTTCCCAGACCTCACAAAGTCACCAGAATGATACTGGCAGCTGTCATTGTCCTGTATATTTATTTTGGAAGGGGAGTGTGGGGGGGGGAGAGGCTCAATTTTATTTTGCTTTTTAATTCAGAAGATAGAAGTATTAAAAATATTTGTAATTTTGTTAAACATGCATGCATTTTGTGAGAAAGTGGTATAAAATACATCACTGAAATAAGCTTTATTTTGTAAATATTTAAAGCTCCATAGAAATACTTTATTTGATGCCGGGCTCGGTGGCTCAGCCTGTAATCCCGCGCCTTTGGGAGGCTGAGGTGAGTGGATTGCCTGAGCCCGCGGGTTCGAGACCCGCCTGGGCAGCGAGACCTCATCTCTACAATAAATCAAAAAATCAGCCAGGCGTGGTAGCGCGCGCCTGTAATTCCGGCTATTTGGAAGGCTGAGGCGGAAGGATCGCCAGAGCCCAGCAGGTCGAGGCTGCGGTGACCGGGAGCGGCCACTGCACTCCAGTCTGGGCGACAGAGTGAGACTCCAACTCAAAAAAAAAAAAAAAAGAAATACTTTATTTGGAGATGGCTGTAACAGACATATTTTTAATTTTTTTTCTCGTTCTATGACAGTGTTCAAAAATTTTTATTTTATTTTATCTTAAAGATGTGGGGTACAAGTCAGGGTTAGGTACATAAGTGGTCATCATGCAGGTAAAGTTTGGTACTCTTATTGATGTTATGTGCCACCCTCTTCCCCTGGCAGTGTCCTTTTCTTATAGTATTATGATAAATGTTCAGTCTGCTTATGAGTGAGTGCATGCAGTACTCAGATCCTTGTTTCTGTGATAAATCACTGAGTATTATAGACTCGAATTCCATCCAAGTTACTGCAGATTTTATAATTTTGTTTTTCTTTATGACTGCATGATATTCCATTGTGTAAATGTACCACATTTTCTTTATTCAGTCCACTTTTGAGGGCAGCCTGGTTGATTCCATGTTATTGCTATTGTGAATAGTGCCGCAATAACATGCTTGTGCAGGTATCTTTTTTGTAGAGTGATTTGAGTTCTTCTGGGTATATTCCCAGAAGGGGGATTGCTGGGTTGTATGGAAGGTCAATTTTTAGATCTTTTAGAAATCGCCACACTATTTTCACAGAGGTTGTACTAGTTTACACTCTCACTGGCAGTGTAGAAGTGTTCCCTTTTCCCCACATCCTCTCCAGCATCTGTTGTTTTTTGAGTTATTGATGATGACCATCCTGACTGGAATTAGGTGATATTTCAGTGTGGTTTTAATTTGCTAATTTTTTTTAACCTGAGCATATACATTTTAGGGTTAGAAGACCCTTAATTACAACTTATTGGCATTTATTTGTGACCAAAAGTAACATTTACTACAATCATTTAATCTTAAATGTTTAAGAATCCCAGAAAAGAAGAAAATAGTGCTGATGTGTCCTGCTAATTTTCTTAAGTCTTTAAAAATCTAGCAACACAGTCAACACCAAGAATAAAGTTATACTTTTTGGCATTAAATAAAATTGTTATTATCAAAGTACAAAACATATGTTATTGAGATTTCAACTACACTTAGCACTTCAGTTGCTAAAAATATTCTGCCAGTCCTCAATACCAAACTACTACATAATTTATGAGAGGTGGAAACAATTTTAGGAGAACTCCCAGGGCCTACACAGACACAGACTTCGGGTGCTCTCCATGCTGATCCTTCATCAGTGGTGCCTATGCATGCACTGTCCTGTTTAGATGTGAAGTCCTGGGGGAAGCTAGCTTGAGGGTAATGGACCAAAAAGAGAGAACCTGGCCATCTACTTAGAATGAGCTGGTGCCCACAGGCTCTTTCACTGTATTTGAGATCATTGTTTTTCTTTTCCATTTACATTTTTTGAGTCAGGAACCTTGGTAAATTGCTGCCCAAAGACATACAAGCTAGGTGGGGTTGTGCATCTTAAAGGGTATGACTTATCAAACTATATCATGGGGTCGTGTCTGATCTGTAGACTGCTAACTACCCCCAGTGTAAGTTAAGTATTATGTAATTTCACTGAAGTGTGCAAAAGGTGATTTGGAAAGGGCACAGGAAGAAAGGTGAAAAAAGAAAATAAAAAGATTATTAGAAAAGTAGTATGTAGAGAGCAAAGTCCATCAAATCATGACCTGTCACATGCATTCTTGGGACATCCCTAAATCATTAGCTGTTTCCGGAGGCTTTACCTCCTGCCTGTGGTATACTGGAGGTGGCAGAGGGCGGGGGAGTCCTACTAGTACTCAGGTATCTGTGCTGAGAATGTGTTTATGAAAGACGGATCCAGCCGGGTTCGGTGGCTCAGCCTGTAATCCTGTGCTTTGGGAGGCTGAGGTGAATGGATTGCCCAAGCCCGTGGGTTCGAGACCCGCCTGGGCAACTTGGCGAGACCTCATCTCTACAATAAATCAAAAAATTAGCCGGGTGTGGTAGTGCACGCCTGTAGTTCCAGCTACTTGGAAGGCTGAGGTGGAAGGATTGCGGGAGCCCAGCAGATCAAGGCTGCGGTGGCCGGGAGCGTGCCACTGCACTGCAGTCTGGGTGATAGAGTGAGACTCCAACTCACAAAAAAAGAAAAAAAAAAAAAAAAAGAAAGACGAATCCTCCTTACCTTTTGAAGAAGTATCTGTTGTCCTCCCTGTCACCCTTCATGGAGTTAGCTGAATAGCTGCTTGAATGTGTTGGCATTGGAGGTAATAGCTCAGTGTTCGGTGTTTGACTTTGCTGTGGCATATCTATGAAGTTTAGCGCTATGGCCCATACCTTTGAACTCATTTCCCCATTCTTTGACTATTTTAAGGTTGAATGTTTAGACCAGTGGTTCCCAACCTTTTTGGCATCAGGGACTGGTTTCATGGAAGACAATTTTTCCATGGACTGGGGTGAGGAGGATGATTTCAGGATGATTCAAAGGCATTACCTTTATTGTGCACTTTATTTCTATTATTATTACATTGTAATAAATCATGAAATAATTATGCAACTCATCATAATGCAGAATTAGTGGGAACCCTGAGCTTATTTTCCTGCAACAAGGTGGTCTCATCTGGGGGTGATGGGAGACACTGACACCTGAAGCATGTTGCTTAAGTCCTATTAACTCCATTATCTCGTTGTGGTTGCTGTCACTGCAGAAAACCCTGCTTCACAAAGATAGCATGTTGGAAATGGAAGCAGGCTTTTCAGTGCTTTTGTGGCAATCTTAGGATATTCTGCTTTGACTTTATTCCAGAACATATGGAGACTTGAAGTTGTCTGAAACATACTTTTAAGGCCACCATTATTTGCAATCTCAAGCAGTTGACCCTCTTCTAGCATGGCAAAGTCGATTCATTTGGCTTATTCACAAATGGGTCACGGATCCATTCCTTCCCAGTTCAGGTGTCTTTTGTGGCTGGGGAGTAATGCCCAAACTCTTCTGAAATGTGAGTTAGGTGATCATGCACCAGCTGGGAGAAAGAAGGCCCTGGCTCAGACTCTTTCAAAATCTCTGCTAATGTTTGAAACATGTAAAAAATCCCAATGTTCACTCATCGCCCCCATAATTCCAGTTTGGCTTTGAATGTAGCCACCTTATCTGCTGACTTGAACACAGTTGTCATTCTCCCCTGAAGTGACAGATTGAGTTCATTGAGCGGGTTGCATATGTCACACAAATAAGCAAGTTTTGCAACTCATTCTGTGACACTGAAATGTGCTACCAGTGGTGACTGCTTTTCTAAAAGAAATCTCTGGAGCAGCTCTTGTAACTCAAAAACTCTGGTCTGTGATCTACCTTTAAAAAGCCATCTCACTTTTGTGTATAAGAAAAGACGTGTGTGCTCTGTGTCCATCTTACAGAGCTGCGCAAACAGATATGAGTTAAGGGCATGTACTTTAATGTGGTTGATCATTTAAATCACATCTTGCAAAACGTTGTTAAGTTGAGGTGATATTTTTCAGCTAGCCAGCATTTCTCTGTGAATGACTCAGTACACAGACTCACATTCAGAAGTGACCTCTTTGATCTGAGTAGTGAAAGCAGAAAACCATCCAGTCATGGCAGTCACTCTGTCCCATGCATATACACAAAATAACCAATTCAGTTTTCCCGATAGGTAATCATTCAAAGACTTGAAGAGTTTTGCAGCTATAGTATTGTTTGGCAACAAAAGTGCACCTAACATATCCTCATGCACATCCTCCTGAAAAATATATTGCATAAAAACAAGAATTGTCTTGTTGTCAACAAGGTAGACTCATCAACCGGGAGTGCGTACCATGACTCATTAATCTTCTCTATATCCTCTTCTATTTCATTGATCCATTTAGTTATGGTGCTAGCCTAAAGAGGAACACATGCCACCTTTTGAACTGCAGCCTCTCCTCAAAGTTCACCACAAATGTCCTTAGCAGCAGGCAGGATCTCTTCACCAATAGTAAAGCTTCTTAGCTTTAGTTATACAGTTAGCCACTAAGAATGGTGCTCTCAGTGCAGACACATTTGATGAAGTGATGGTCTTCAATAATTGTTTCTGTTCTTCATGTTTACTTTTTTTCTTTTGAAAAACTTCAAAGGCTTGTCTTTTAATGCAGGGTGCTTGGTCTCCACATGACAAATCAGTTTTGAAGCTTTCATGGCTTCATTGGATGGCCGGTCGCCACATATTCTACAAAGCAGACTTGGAGAATGTGAATCACCCGTTGCAATGAACTGTAACTTAAGTAGGACTCTTGGTGGGTTTTTTTTGGTTTTTTTTTTTGAGTCAGAGTATCACTCCATCGCCCAGGCTGGAGTGCAGTGGCAGGCTCACAGCCACCCCAGTGTCGATCTGCTGACTCTGGCGATCTTCCGCCTCAGTCTTCCAAGTAGCTGGAACTACCACGCCCGGCTAATTTTTGATTTATTGTAGAGACAAAGTCTTACCAAGTTGTTTGGGCTGGTTTCGAACCTGTGGGCTTAGGCAATTTACTCACCACGGCCTCCAAAAGTGCTGGAATTGTAGGCTGAGCCACTGAGCCTGGCCATAATTTTTTGATTTATTGTAGAGATGCGGTCTTGCCAAGTTGCCCAGGCTGGTCTCGAACCCCTGGGCTCAGGTAGCCTGCTCGCCTCAGCCTCCCAAAGTGCTGGGATGACAGGCTTGAGCCACCGTGCCCGGCCTGGTGTTTTCTTTTAAATGAAACTTTCTTTTTGTTGGCAGGCTTAGAATCTTCTGCTGTCTCATCATTTGGTCTTTCCCCCTTTTCAAACAAGCGCTCCAGTGATGTTTGTTTTTACTCACTTTTGCTAGGGTTAACTTGTGAGCTTACCAAAACTGACTGAGACAAATGCACAGTGCAGGAAAGAGGCTTGGATGGAAGTGATAAAATAATGGGCAGGCCACATGTGGACTTAATTAAGTGTTGGATCCTGACTTAAAGCCTGTCACCAGGTGCAGCTGTACAGTGAAGTACATCAAATCACTTGCCACCCGCTGATAGGGTTTTGACAAGAATCTGCAAGTAATTGATTTATTATGGTCTCTGTGCAGTCAAGCCTCACTGCTCATGTTAATCTGTATTTGCACATGCTCACCAGCGCTAGCATCACCGCTTCACCTCAGCTCCACCTCAGATCATCAGGCATTAGAATCTCATAAGAAGCATGCAGCCTAGATCCCTTGCTTGCACAGTTCACAATAGAGTTCAGGCTCCTATGAAAATCTGATGCTGCTGCTGCTCTGACAGAAGGCAAAGCCCAGGTGGTAATGTGAGTGAGGAGGAATGACTGTAAGCACAGATGAAGCTTCACTGGCCCATTGCTCATCTCCTGCTGGGTAGTCTGTGGCCTGGGGTTTGGAGACCCCTGGTTTAGAGGGAAGTCAGCCCTGCTCCCTAATGAGTTGAAATGCAGCTTTTTTCACAATGCAGACACATCCTTATGAGAAGGAAGCTTTTCTCCCTGACACTATCTGACTCATATTTTACTTTCAGAACTAAGAGCTAAGATTTATTTTAATACCCCATTTGGTCACAGATGTTGTTCTTTAACATGTCTTCTAAATCTAAGAAATAAGTTGTCTGTATGCTTTCCTGTGACAGGATATTCTAAAAATTACCTCATGTACTTTTGGGAAGACAAATGCTAGAATGACAATTATGGTTGAGTTAAAGCACAATTCATTCGTAAGAGTTTGTTGGGAACATTTAAAGTGAATGTTCTTTAGCACTGTGATTATTTCAGGTTGTTGAAAGTTCCAAAACTGTTCCCTTTAATGGTATTACACGTTCCCTCAGTACAGCTGAAACAACTCTCCTCTCAACCTTTTCAGTTATCCTTGAGAAAATTAATCACTGAAGTTATTGGAACTGAATTCGGGTCTCGAGTATTATTTACCTGGATAAAATTGCTCTCTAACATGGGAGGAGATATGAAAGGGGCATACTCTCCTCCATCCAGCATATTTTGAAGATCTCCTGGGCTTGGGGCGTGTGGGGCGCAGGGCGAAGTTTGCTTATAGGTCCTTGCGGGGGACTTCCTGTTGTTCTTCTTCATTGTGCTTGCGCACAGACATCGGAAAACTGAGGGAACGAAAATACAGTTAATGGGCACAGAGATAATTTAATATAATAATTAAATTGCCTTATTTATTTATTTGTATTTTTTTGAGTTGGAGTCTCACTCTGTCGCCCAGACTGGAGTGCAGTGGC